TGCGAATTGATGTGAATTAACTTTTAACTAGCACCTGGCACAATATCACAGTCAAATAATTAGCTATAATCCACCCGGGTCCGATAGCCCCAACTCTGCCCATCTTTCGCATTATTTATTCTTGTATATCTTTTTGCACTTATTGTCCAAATATTACGATATATTTTTGGTACCTAAAGTTGACATTCATAGGTGCCACAAATCAATAGTGCTAAAATGCGTTACATGAACAACGTGCCAAATCGATAATTATCGATAGGGCTGTATATATATATATTTATCGATATATTGATATTTATCGATTTTTTAAGAATTTGAGAACAAAGAAACGGGGAAAAGGCATACACATACATTATATGATCAAACTAAAATCTAGTCTGCGAAGTGATATTTATCGATTTATAAACAATTGAGTGTATTTATTGATCACTTAAAGCATGCACATACTTCGGATATATGAACTAACTAACACCTAGGCTGCAAATCATTATTTATCGATAGTTTTCGATATTTATCGATATGCACAAAATTGAGTTCAACATTATTTCATAGAAGAAGTTTGAAATATTTTCAAAAATAACAAGTCCTTTTCGTTTTTCCACCAGCTTTTACAAAACCCATAAATTACTTCAGCTTTCACAGTCTCTCTAATAACTCTGATCCATAAAATGAAGGCTTTATGAATGTGGAGATGCCTTCTACTGCCTGTAACTTGCAAAAGGGCCCAAGCTTCAACTACCCTAACTTAGACATTTGTAATGGGTAAAGTCTACAATAAATTTCAATTGAATTGGAACTTGGTTGGGTGGACGGGATTAAAGTAAGTAAGAAAATGCTGTGGGTTCGGTTCTGAAGAATTCTTGGTGCGAATTCCGGTGTTTTTTTTTATGGCATGCGATTTATACAATTTTTTTGTGTATGCCAATTGCCAGGCACGGACAACAATTACGCGCATTATCCTTGCGAGTCGAGTTAAAGATGCAGACGCAGACGACCATGGAAATGTAGATGGGCGGCGGGGGGTGGGTGGGTGTGGGGTTGGGGACGGGTCAGAAGCTGGAGCCGGAGTCGAGTGATAACACGGCATTTGCTTAAACAAGCATAAATGCGAGCTGCTTAAAAATGGAGAAGGAAGCTGGAAAGTTCGCTGCCATTTTAATTTGGCTAAGTAGCGCCAGTGACAGGGAGAGAGAGGGAGAGGGGGAGAGAGAGAGAGGGAGAAAGAGAGAGAGAGAGAGATACAGCAAGGCGCATACCTTTGCTGGTCAAAAAATACAAAAATATAAGGAAAGCAAAAATAAAAACTCTAATTTAATTTTAACTTTGCTGGCGTCTGGGCAGCCACCCCCCCCCCCCCCCCCCCCCCCCCCGCCCTGTAACCCCTTCAACCCCCCCTCCACCCTTACTGCACATTCGCTTTTGTGTTTGATTCTGTTGTCAGCGTCTTTTGGCGCTTTATGCTTGTGGCACACTTTCCGCATCGCATTAGCCAGCCTCCCGCCCCGCAACGACCCACACCCCCCCGCCACCCACCACAACCCCCTGAACTGAGGCGAAAGAGTAAAAGTAAAATATTTGCTCGGCCATTGCAAGTGAGCAGCGCTGATTGCGGCACTAAAATGTAACGAGTTTCTTGTGCGACGATAAGATTTCGAGCTTGAGCATCAAACCGACCCCCGCTCCCCCTCCGCCCGCGGCTCCCTTACCCAGCGGTAATCCCCTTGACCCATCCGCGATTTAATCACAGTGAAGTTTGCCCATTTGCCGCTGGCCGTTTTATTCTCTTCTTTTATGCCTTGCACCCATTAACAATGTCTAAAAAGGGTATAACAAAGTTGCGTTAAGGCATGAAGTGGACATCCAGAGGCAGCTGTGACGCCATAAACCATATATATATCACATATTCTTGATTAGGCTGCAGGCTACAGAGATAGCTAAGGCAAACGTAGATCTAGCTTGTTCTATTTATCATCTGATAACTTTAACTGCTGACGTCTAAATCAAACAAAAGGCATTTGCATATGTGCAGCGCCCTTCTATGCGATTTTCATGAGCTCAAGTAAGGTTTTCAGATTTCCACATTTATTCAGAGATTCCTCTGACGGTGTTTGCAACTATGTGTCACTGACTGCCTGTCTCATCACTCTCTTTGTTTCCTTCTCTCTATCTCTCTCTCTCTGTTTCACTCTCTCATAGTGTTGCTCTCTCTCACTCTTTCTATTTCTTACCCACCTTTTACTTTTTTCTTTGTTCTTACTCTGTAACACTATTCTCCCTCTCTCTCTCTCTCTCCCTCTCTCTCTCACACACTCTCTCGCTCTCTTCTCTCTGTTTCTCTCTCTCTCTCTTTCCAACAATTTAACTTGCTCGCTGACTCTTATTTTATTTCTTTCTCTCGCTCTCTTATCAACCCGTTCTCTCTATGCTCATTTAATAATAGCCTTTCTATGCGATTTTCATGATTGGAAGTAAGCCAGTCGAACATACCCAACTGGCCTGAGTCGCATTTCTAGCAGCAGGTAAGTCTATCTTATGACCAAAGTTTGTAAGTAGCTTTAAGGCAGTTGGCACCTACGCCCCCAGTTAGCCTGGGCCTGACAATCGACAGCAATTTGCCAAGGTCCCCACCCCACCCCCGCACCAGACATTAAGAGGCAGCAGCCAAGCCAAAGCGCCGTCGATGACCAAATTCGTATTCACAAAGCATCCGATAAGCATAACAGTTGTCGTCAAGTGAGCGTCGTGCCGCCGGCGCACACCTTATCCAGCGGTTGGCAGCACAACTGGAGTTGGCTCTAGCAGCTGGAGGAGTTGGGGCGGCAACAAATCGTCGCCAGCTGCCAGCGACAATAAAACGTTTTACAATGTAACTAAGGCGACGACATGCCGCTGCCGTAGACGTGAATCTCGGTGTGGCAGAGGAAGCCGCCCCTTTGGCTTTGGTCTGGCGGCGGTCTGCTTGAAATGAGCGCAACCTCTCACATGTGGCAATAATGTGCGAATCGCTTGCCCCATGTGCAACAAAGTTAATAATTGTTTATTGCCACAGCGACAGCTGCGATATTTTGTGCCCAAAAGATGTCTAGAGCAGGTAAGGCTCGCATTAAGCCAGGCTATAGCCGTTTTTTTCTATAATTGAATAAGCCAAAGTAAAGCTAACATAAATATAACCGGTGAACCCACAGCCAAGGAAAAAAAAGCTGAAAAAAAACCGCCCAAAAATTGTACTGATAAAAAACCGCCAAAAACATAGCTAAATCAGCTAGCACAGCCAAAAGACAAACGAAGGCAGCGCGCCAAAGCTCCGACTCCAAAGCTCAAAACGTATCGATAGTTCCGATAGTTTTGGTGCACACCAAAGTGATTAATCGATACTATCGATGCCATCGATTACTTGAGCGCGCGTTCAAGTTTAACCGTTTGAAATTTGTATTTAACTGCAAATTGGTTTCATTCCAAATAAAACCAAGCAACGTTACACACACAAACACAATTTTATTTATTTAATTTTCTTGGTGTTTTATTCTGGTTTTCTTCACATTTACCTACTCGACTTTCGAATACGTATATTTAAAGGCATATTCATGCATTTAGTTTGTGCATTTTTCGTGTCCCAAGGATCGTCAACAATTAGAAACAAATGTGCGCTGCTTTTGTTATTATTGTTTCTCTTTAATCGTGTGGATTTTATTACTATAAATATACAAAATATACATATATATGCATATATACTTACATATATATATACGCGTGTGATGGTTATATGTTCTTTTCTTTCATTTTTTTTAATAAACAATAAATGGTTTAAACAAACTACATTTATAGTAGGAGTAAATTGTGCTTAAGCTACTAAAAGGAGCTGGAGTTGGGTTTCAAATTGAAATATAAACATACAAAATTCCAGCCAACATTGCCGGGGAAGTAGAGCAGTACAAAGATCATAAATGTGGCTAAATGCTCCGCCTCGTCTTTCGTACACACACATGCATGCATACACAATTCTGGAGAGACAATTATATATATATATCTATATGTCAATAATATCGAACCGATATAAAATAAATCTTATTAAATAAGTTGAACTACGCGTGTTTCGTTTGTTTTCTCGTTTCATATTTTGTTTTTAGTGTATTCAATTTTCAAATAGCTTTCAGTCTAAAGTTGAGTTTTGGTTGAGTTAAACGTGATATTTACCAGCATTTACTTTTTTTTTTTGTTGTTGAGGATATTTCTTGGTGCCATTTGCAGATTGCGTTCGTTAATATGTATAAAAGTTAGCCGGCTTTCATAATTGGACATTTACATACATAGACTATATGGTAAACATGTAAACAAATTGTACATATTGGAAGAATTCTTAAATACATACAAAAGTGTATTGACGTTCTTAACAAACATGCATACATTACGTTTAACAACAAATTATATACATCACACATCTAGAATTTAATATATAGTACATAAATGTTGCTCAATACGTATTTACAGTCGCTCACAATAATATATGCATACGCATGAGTTTTGTGTGAATCGTTCGATATCAAGACTGCAAAACCGGTTCGAACCCGGAATTCCGATTTCTAATTAAACCAAGAACCGAACTTAAAAGCGGTATCAGCCGAAGTACAGCAGAACCTGAACAAAGTAAATTGAATTACAATAATAATAAAAATATACAAATATAAAAGATTTACTGTATAATTAATTGCACCATTCTATTGCAAGAATCTGAATCCAAGCTCGGAAGTTAGTTTGCAGCCTCGTTCGATATACGCTTCTCCAATTGCATTTATTTTAATTATCTATTATATTTTGGCTATTTTGTTTTTTTTTTTTTATCAAAATTGTGCATGGTATAAAAAATCATACAATTTGTAAACTCTACTTATTGGAATTTATATATGTATAAACAAATAAAATTGCAACTGAAACATGTTTGGAAAATGTTTGTTTCATGTTTTGTTGCTTTGTTCCGTTTTGCAGTTTTGTGTGCGTGTGAGTGTGTGTGCCGTGTGCCGTGTGTGTGTGTGCGTGTGTGCCGTGTGCGTGTGTGTGTGCGTGTGTTTAAGCTGTTAGCCCACAGCACCTGCTTCTCCGTGTCATTTCCCTACCAAACCTCCCATCCGCGTCAATCCCAGCCGTGTCTCAATTGTCCAGTTGTTGTTGCAGCTACCTTTTTCTTCTTTCTCATTTGGTTTCTACCGGCCACCCCCCGCTCCGGTTCTCTATTTGGCATGGCCATTGCTCAGCACCGCAGGCAATACGTTCGCCTGCTGCACCACCGCATTTATAACATCGATCTCCTTCTTCAGAAAGGCGCCGCTGTTCTCCTCCTCGGACAGTGGGCCGCCCGTGGAGCTGTTGGAGCTGATGTTGTTGTCATGTTGGCCATGTGCGGCGGATATGTTGCGCTTGCGCAGACCAGCTGCAGCGGCGTCCACCAGATTGGCGGCACCGCTACTGACTGTGCCGGCGGCTAGCTTTAGTTTGGGAAACTCAATGTCGCGCATCAGATCGTTCTTGAACTCAACGATGCCGCTGACAGTTTCGGTGACAGTCTTATCAATAAATTCCTCAATATTTTTGGTTTCCGCTTCGATCTTCTCCTTCAGCTTGCTGGACAACTGATCCATTTCGCACTGATCGTGCGGCACGCTAACCGCGTCGCGAGCGCTTGTTTCCTGTGGATGTGGCTTGGGGCTCAGGGGTTGCTTCTGCTGTTTGTGCTGCTGCGGCTGTTGCTGCTGTGGGCGTGGTTGGAGTATTTTATTATTCTGTGGCTGACTCGACATGTGCTGTTGTTGTTGTTGTTGTTGTTGTTGCTGTGTCAATGTGTCATTACGTTTAGCGGGCTCACTGAGAACCGCCTGCTCCTCCTCAACATTGAGATCGTGCGTGTTGTTGTCCACGGCCAACGGATCGTCAGCAGCAGCAGCTGCTGCTGCTGTTGTTGTTCCAGTAGCAATATCGCTTATATTAGCCGTAAGATTCGTGCCGGCGGCACTTCTATTCGGACGCTGCTCGCCGCGTATGAATCGTGGTAAAATAAATATGGTCACTAATGAAATAATATGAAGGCACAAACAAAATCTCAGGTACAATTTGATGCTGCCCTGCAATAACGAAAAGTAACAACAGCTTAATAAAAGTACAAGCATATTAATCGGTTAACAACTAACCATAAATTCAAGCAGAACAAATGGGAATGTGGTGTAGCCCATCACGATGCGTGTGGTGATGATGGTTAGAATGTCGTAGAACATGCGCGTAAATTGTGTGCTCTGGAAGCGATAGCGGAGCATGCGACGCGCTGTCCGCGCCGCTGTTACCATTAAGGCACCCGTGGCAAAGGTCAAATAGTAGCCAGGATAGAAGCCATGCCAAACGGCGCTCAAGGCGAACGTCAACAATGTGCCATACTGCTTGGGCACACGCTCATAGACGAGCGTACGGAGCCAGCGATTCGTGCCGCAGTTCCAATTGTTGATGGCATCGCGCATATTCGAGGCAAACTGTAAGTGGACAGAGTATCAATAAATCTATATATAATTTGTGCCTGCTCTCAAATATAAGTTGAGCGTAATCGATGCTCCGCTTACCTCAAATGACAGCACATTTATGTTGGATATTAGATCCCATTTGGCATTGCCATCCTTGTCGTAGCCGGTGAAACCCAAGCCCGAATTATTGCATATGGCATCGGCGAGTAGCCAGGCATGATAATACTTAAAGCGTATACAGGTGGTTGCCATCATGGCATACCAAAACTTATAGGGTATGCTTGTGTCATTGATAAAGTCATCCTCTTTCATATTCTTGACTGGATAGATTTTGACAAACTTCATAAATATGAAGGCGCACACCATGCTGCCGAGCACCTTGCGTATCACGGTTTTCGTTGGCGACGGCTCCACCACCAGCTCCGACTTGCCATTGTCCAGACTGGCCTGAAAAGCAATGCAAAGCAAGAACAGAATCGAGAGTCAATTTCAAGTGTAATGAGAGAGCTGCAAAATTGAAATTGATGAGTCAGACGGCAGACAACGACGACCAGACAAGAGCAGATGGCAGACAGTGGCCCAACCCGCCGCCGCCGCCGCCGCCGCCGGGCTTGGCTAATGCAATCACTGCAGCCACATAATCATTGCAGAGACTGTGCGCACATCTGTGTGGTCCACTTACATTGCTCGCCGGACGCTTCAATAGATTGTAGCCCTCTACAAACTCAATGTAGTCCTTGTAAAAGACCAACGGGCCGGCCATAAGGCTCTGAAAGTGCCACACATACGAGAAATACTCCAATGCGGATGGCATTTTTCTAATCGCATGATATTGCTGCGCCCTTGTCAAGTCCTGCGGCAATGAGACAAATGAAAAGCATTAGCAACTGATTGCACTTTAGACAATCAATCAATTAATCGCTCACCTCATCCTGGCGCACAAAGCCGTCGTGTATGCTAAATGCCAGGCTGGTCACCTTCTGCGTGATGATCATCAGCGGCCCGGTTATGTCCAGTGCATAGGAACCGTAATCGTAGATCTGACGCATCAGGTGCACGCACAACAGGTAGCCCATGGCCACCAGCAAGACGCTTCTGCAAAAGAAACAACAGATGAGTTTTAAGCTCTTCGTTGGGAGTCATCATTTTCGCCACCCACCTCTGCACAATGCGCGGATCCTGTGTGCGTATCACGATATAGCATAAGGCCGGCAAACCGGCAATGTGTATGGCCTGCTGGCCAAAGCAAAAGTAGCCAAAGGCCAGGCCCAAGGACATGGCGAAAGCGTGTCGCACCTCATAGGAGACCTTCGATGGATGCAGCCACGAGCGGAAGAGCGAGGCCAGGAAGAGTGCCGATATTTGGCAGACTAAAAAGTTGACCTGCAAATAAAAAAAAACAAGAATGTTAGATAAAAATATGAAAGAAAACATTTGATTAAGAAATTTACTGATTGATTGATTGAGTGATTGACAGACTGGCTGACTGATGATCAATGCTCAGAACAAACCGTAAGATAAGGGAAAGAAATAGGCATCATATTGTCAAAACTTAGCTGACTTTAAAAAATATTAATTGATTGATTGATTGACCATCTAGCTACTGATTGATGGCCAACGCGCAGTAATGTACAAGTAAAGGATAAATTAAGATAAAGGAGGAGGAAATAAATGGCATATTTTATGAGCATAATTGGGAATAACTGATTGATCGAATGATTGACAGACTAACTGGCTGATTGATGATAAGAAGATAAAGGAATAGAAAAACTGACTGATCGAATGACTGACAGACTAACTGGCTGATTGATGATCAACGCACAGTACAACTGTTATATAAAGGAGAGATGTATTCATTAGGCTGACAACTGATTGATTGACAGACTGTCTGACTGACTGACTGACTGATCAAACCCAGGAGTGGAAAATTGGTGAAAGCTCATTTTCAAAGATTCTATTGAAAATTCATTGGCAATGTATTTCACACAACCGTAAAACATTACCATAAAATACTGATTGATTGACAGGCTAATTAAATGATTGATGATTAACAGAACAAGCCATAAAAGCTAGAAAGAACTAAAAACTCATATGGAATTTTGAAAAATTCCTCCGACATAAGTGAAAAATTGCTGAAGTACGTTTATATAATTTACTTTTCATTTAATCTGTGTTCTATGTGAAAATTCATTGGAAATCAATATAAGTAGAAAATGGTTATCCCAGGCGACTTCTAAATCGATTTGAATACTAATCACATGTGCTCAAGCTGGCTTATTTAACTGAATACTAGAATTCTATTGAAGATATCTTACAAGTTCTACGACATACTATATATTTAATAGGTTAATACTAGACACAGAGCCCATAACTTGTTTTGTTGTGTAATTCGGCCCATTGAAGCTTTTACAATTGCGGCTACAAATGCCATATATATAAGTATATCAAATATATAGTGTACGGTTGACGTGAACATGATCGGAAATCGGGTATCACGCGACCTGATCAATGTACAGCTGCAGAGCTTGATGACTGACCGTGGCCTTGGCCATCGTTTGACATATTCTATGCAAATGATGCATACAGCACAGATCTCTATTATATATTTCTATGTCGGCCAGATGCGCCTGTTCTATATAGTATATAGATATATATGTATATGTACACTGACAATTGCAAGTGCTCGAATTTCTCAAGCGTGCACCTTGCCAACAGTCGACGTCTGCCGTTCAAATAGGGTCTAATTAAAATAGATTGCTAATTTATGGACTCTATGAAAAATTACACGACTTTTTAAACATGAATTGTCGAATGTTGGAAGATGGAAGAATTTTAAATTCTAAGTTATGTTGAATTGAAGATTGAATTTGTGGAGAACAAGAAACAGCTCAGTTACAATAATATTTGAAGGAAAACTACGTTACGTTACGAATGTCACGTAACGGATGTCCAATAACGGATATTACGTAATGTACGTCACATAACGGATGCTACGTAATCTATGTCACATAACGGATGTTACGTAACGAATGTTACGTTGCGGATATCACGTAACGGATGTTACGTAACGGATATTACGTAACGGCTGATACGTAACGAATATCACGTAACGTTTTATATGTATTTGTTTACGAAATGGAATTTTTTCCAGAAATGCTTTCAATACAGATATTACGTACCACGTAAGCTGTACCGTAGATAAAAAATAGTGTTGATAAGGACTGAAAGACTGAACGGCTCCCCTATAGAGCGATCGATAAAGAAATTGTTAACGCTCATATTCATTTCTCTGCGTGCGTTTCGATATCATTCTGTGAGCGCTGCTGATAGCGTAAGGCCCCGACAAATAAACCCATTGATAATTGTGCACCAAAAATTTGGGGACACAGCGATATTTCATTGTCAAGGCTTGGCCATTCTTTAAGCCCCACACCCACCGGCCCAGTGTTAAGCCTTCCAAGGCGGATGTGCTTTTGTTATCAGCTTGCGACTGTCAAACTAGACCTTATCTTTTAGCTATTATTGTCTGCCACAGTTGAAATCAGTGCGAATAATATATAAGTATGTTAATGTACGCTTATCAATCACAGAGCGCATAATCAGAGGAATATGAACTCATTTCAAGTATTTACAGCGACAGAACAAAGAAATTTATAAGAAAACAAAGCAATTTGTATATATATATATATATAGATATATATATATATATTTAAAATGAATGAATGACTTTTCTTAGTGGAATTTAACAGCTATAACTCTTACGAAACTTTAGTAAAAAGAGAGTAGTTTAAGGTCAGGTCATATATGTATAATAGATAGGTTTCTGATGGTATAAAGAATACAGCTGTAAGATATTAACCTTAGCAGAATATTCTGACAAGGCATCACAATAACACAACAATATTCGCCTATAAAACAAAAGTGAGTTAATATAACAGATAACCTTGAGGGTTATCGTTCAGTTGAGAAATAAATGGGACAAGCATATTGTATAAAGCACAGATAATAATAATCGATAAGTTACTTGTAGCTGAACCACTTGAAAAATTAAACTAGGATCAAAGAACTACTCCAAACAGAACGAACGAGTTAAGCGAGTGAACCACTTGGCGAACGAGTAAGGCGAGTGAACCACTTGGCGAACGAGTAAAGCGAGTGAGCCACTTGGCGAACGAGTAAAGCGAGTGAACCACTTGGCGAACAAGTAAAGCGAGTGAACCACTTGGCGAACGAGTAAAGCCAGTAAACCACTTGGCGAACAAGTGAAACGAGTGAACCACTTGGCGAACGAGTAAAGCGAGTGAACCACTTGGCGAACGAGTGATCCGAACACGAATAAAAAAGCTATTCCATTTAAACTAGCGTATACATCACATATGTACACAGTATTTAGAAATTCGGAACTAGTTCCAAAAAAGTGAGGATATGTATGTATAAGCTGCGATTTATTTGAATTAATTTCTATCTTGGCTAGGTGTATTATATAGTCAGTTAATGGAGAGATTTGCCTTGGTCTGTCTGCTCGACTTTATCGTTGCTCAATTACGCTGCGCGGCACAGTTGAGCACCAAGTTGCGACGGCGACATTTGCCTGCCTCGATATCGAACCAGCTGCCCGCCTTGCAGCGTCGCACCACGCGAACACCGCCGTTGCACTGGTAGAACCGGCGGCAATGCTTCGAGTCCTGCAGGAAAACGCCGTCGGCTCTGTTCTGACAGTCGTCGCTGGAGGAGCTGATGAGACTTAGCAGACGATTGACAATAGATTTTTTAACTTCTTTTGCAACTTCTTCTTCACAAGGTGTGGTGGTTGGTGGAGCACACGGTGTGGTTGTAGATGGCTCACACGGAGTTGTCGTTGGTGGGGCAGTCTCACAGGGAGTTGTCGGTGGTGGAGCAGTCTCACAGGGAGTTGTCGGTGGTGGGTCAGTCTCACAGGGAGTTGTCGGTGGTGGGGCAGTCTCACAGGGAGTTGTTGTGGGTATTGCCGGTGGTGCTGCACATGGTGCTGTTGTAGTTGGACGACGACAGGGTTGCTTTGTTGTAGTTATAGTTTCACTTGGCGTCGTTGCGAGTGGTGCACTTGTCGACGTTGCGGGTGGTGCACTTGTCGCCGTTGTTGTAGGTTGTGGTGCTGTTTCACAAGGAGTTGTTGTGGGTGGAGGTGGGGCGCTTGTTGTTGTTGCTGTCGTTGTTGTAGGTGGTGGTGGTGCGCTTGTTGTTGTCGTTGCTGTAGGTTGTGGTGCTGTTTCACAAGGAGTTGTTGTGGGTGGAGGTGGTGTGCTTGTTGTTGTCGTTGTTGTAGGTGGTGGCGGTGCGCTTGTTGTTGACGTTGTTGTAGGTGGTGGTGCGGTTTCACAAGGAGTTGTTATGGGTGGAGATGGGGCGCTCGATGTTGTTGTAGGTGGTGGTGCGGTTTCACAAGGAGTTGTTGTGGGTGGAGGTGGTGCGCATGTTGTTGTCGTTGTTGTAGGTGGTGGTGGTGCGCTTGTTGTTGTCGTTGTTGTAGGTGGTGGTGCTGTTTCACAAGGAGTTGTTATTGGTGGAGATGGGGCGCTTGTTGTTGTTGAAGGGGGTGGTGCGGTTTCACAAGGAGTTGTTGTGGGTGGAGGTGGTGCGCTTGTTGTTGTCGTTGTTGTAGGTGGTGGTGGTGGTGCGCTTGTTGTTGACGTAGTTGTAGGTGGTGGTGCTGTTTCACAAGGAGTTGTTGTGGGTGGAGGTGGTGCGCTTGTTGTTGTCGTTGTTGTAGGTGGTGGCGGTGCGCTTGTGGCTGTCGTTGTTGTAGGTGGTGGTGCTGTTTCACAAGGAGTTGTAGGTGGCGGGGGTGCGCTTGTTGTTGTCGTTGTTGTAGGTGGTGGTGCTGTTTCACAAGGAGTTGTTGTGGGTGGAGGTGGTGCGCTTGTTGTTGTCGTTGTTAAAGGTGGTGGTGCTGTTTCACATGGAGTTGTTGTGGGTGGAGGTGGGGCGCCTGTTGTTGTCGTTGTTGTAGGTGGTGGTGGTGCGCTTGTTGTTGTCGTTGTTGTAGGTGGTGGTGGTGCGCTTGTTGTTGTCGTTGTTGTAGGTGGTGGTGCTGTTTCACAAGGAGTTGTTATTGGTGGAGATGGGACGCTTGTTGTTGTTGTAGGGGGTGGTGCGGTTTCACAAGGAGTTGTTGTGGGTGGAGGTGGTGTGCTTGTTGTTGTCGTTGTTGTAGGTGGTGGCGGTGCGCTTGTTGTTGACGTTGTTGTAGGTGGTGGTGCGGTTTCACAAGGAGTTGTTATGGGTGGAGATGGGGCGCTCGATGTTGTTGTAGGTGGTGGTGCGGTTTCACAAGGAGTTGTTGTGGGTGGAGGTGGTGCGCTTGTTGTTGTCGTTGTTGTAGGTGGTGGTGGTGCGCTTGTTGTTGTCGTTGTTGTAGGTGGTGGTGCTGTTTCACAAGGAGTTGTTATTGGTGGAGATGGGACGCTTGTTGTTGTTGTAGGGGGTGGTGCGGTTTCACAAGGAGTTGTTGTGGGTGGAGGTGGTGCGCTTGTTGTTGTCGTTGTTGTAGGTGGTGGTGCTGGTGCGCTTGTTGTTGACGTTGTTGTAGGTGGTGGTGCTGTTTCACAAGGAGTTGTTGTGGGTGGAGATGGTGTGCTTGTTGTTGTCGTTGTTGTAGGTGGTGGTGCTGTTTCACAAGGAGTTATTGTGGGTGGAGGTGGTGTGCTTGTTGTTGTCGTTGTTGTAGGTGGTGGTGGTGGTGCGCTTGTTGTTGTCGTTTTTGTAGGTGGTGGTGCTGTTTCACAAGGAGTTGTTGTGGGTGGAGGTGTTGGAGGTGCTGTCTCACAAGGAGTTGTTGGTGGTGGTGTTGCTGGTGGGGCACATGTTGTGGTGATAGGCGGCGAGGGCGGTGGCTCTATATCACACGGAGCCTTTGGCGTGGTTGTCTCGCATGGGGGAGGTGTTGTTGAGCAGGGCTCGTGGTCACCCGCATCCAAATCAAGAGCAACACGCAGCGCCAAGCCCCTTAAATTGATGCAGTGGACCAAACTGGCCAATTTACAGGACTGGCTTGCCTCGTCATAATACTGTCCCAGGCGACAGGTGTGATGCACAGCTCTGCCGCGCGTGCAAACATAATAGCCGGCACACCTGGCCGGATCAGTTAGAAGGGCACCGTTGGCCAGGCTATTGCAACTGGGCCGCAATCTTTGGTCGGCACTCGTGACGGCTACGGCAACTGCGGCAATTGTCACTAAGCCCACAAGTAGAACGTTTACTGGAAAAGGACATGCGTAAGGGCGTGACTGGCTGCGGGAATAAGTATCACTTACAAGATTTCATCTAAGACTCTGCTCTGCTCTGCTCGAAAGGATAACTAACTGAAGTGTGTTACTTTATCGCTTCCGAACTTAATTGTTGCAGCCGAAGCTACAGTACTCTCTTTTATACCCAATGCCCATTTGTTTGTGCAGCTTCAACTCAAGTGCTTTACCAAACAATTTGGCTAATTGGGCGCACAAATGTTTCCCATATTGACAATACAATTTAAATGTAGATAATGAAACAACATTTGCATGTATCTCTAAGCACTTCTGTGCTTACAACTAACGCTCCCCCCTATTGCTTAGAGATGGTGTCCATTGAAAATGTGGAAGCTGCCGTCCCATAAGGGTGTGCTTCGATTAGGTATATACGCCAAGTTGAAATAAAAGGTATTTAAGTTAGAACAGACGCTAGTTAGAGCTGGTTTCGCAGAGTCTAAGGCACTGCCGTTTAGGCAACCCAACAATCCTTCGACTCTTAGACTTTAGACTTCTTAAAAACTGAAGTCTGTTGATTTAATTTCATCAGATATTCTCACATTTTGTCAACGTGGCCTGATATAGGCACCATTTGTGCGTCATAAAGATAAGTTCTACGCAATTGACGCATTCAGATAGGCCACACGGTTGTGATTTGCCAAGCTTGCAATAGGAATTTGTACATTTTGGTTTTTGTTTTTTTTTTTCTTTTCTTTTGCCGGACAATGTCATCTGCCCAAGCACAGAGCATAGCTATCCATCAATCTTGGTATCGGGAATCTGCAATGTTGAAATGCTGTTGCAAATGCACACAACGAATGTTGATTAACCAGTTTTGCGCCGAAACCCAAGATAGTATCCACAAGAAACAAGCTCACAAGCGTGTTTAACAAAACTAAGCAAACCAACTGCAAGACCAACGAAAGGGAATATAACTTAATAGATCAAAGTAATGTACATTCAAGTGCGCATTCAATAATCAACAAACCTTAGGCATAGCATAGTAGAAAAACAAGTACACGGAAGGAAGTTGTCTGTCAGTTGGCTGAGCTAAGCCAAGGCCTTTGTTTGAAAACTGCTTCTAGGAGGAGGAGGCAAGGGGCCCTCAGGCCAGAAGCTTACATCACACGAGGCGCTCTCGCTGCCGGGATAGACCCAAAAAACAGGTCTCTATACATGTGCTCAAGGTAAGATGATTCAACTGAGCATGGAATTGCGCTGAAGCAAGCAGTCGGTGCGGCGAGCAGCGAAACAAGTGCTAAATACGGCCACATTAGTAGAAAAATATAATATATATAAATGTAAATAAATAAAAATACATAAATATAAAGCTAAAAACTAAGCTCGAGAAATGCCGGCCTAGTTTTTGTACTTTATAGCCCAACCAGCTCGTCAAAACTTAATTTTAAGCAGCGCCCTTCTACGCAATTCTCATGAATTATAGCCAACATGTTAATAAAGTATTTGAAAAGTAACTGTCACAGTTTGCGCCCGTGACTGTAAAATAAAAATATTGCTCATCTATAGGCAACAGCTCGGCTCATTCTTCTCCCATTCACTTTCATTGCATTGTTCAACCCAACTTTACGGGAAATTAAAGCTCTTTCGATGCAATTTTAAGCTTAGAATCTGTTCTAGCCGTTGCCAATAAAACGCATTAATCAATCACTTGGCGTGTTAATGACTTCTTGTTGTTGCTGTTGGTGCACCGCAAAACAGAACAGAATAAATAAATAAAATGAAAGCAAGCCATAAATCATTTAATTAAATTCGGCACCCCCCTGGTTTGTTCTTTGCCACACGCAATGGACTTTGTGAGAGGCGGGCAAAAAAATAAATTAAAAAAATCGCCAAATATCAGCATACGAAAATGTGGCGTGATGACTATAAATAAATACAAAACAATAAAACCAACAGCAAATATTCTTTACGTGTACGTGTGATAAAAACAAAAAACAAAAAAAAAAGGCTAAACACTTTTTGGGTACACACAGGCAGATAAGAGGAAGAGAGCAGAGCTTGTAAGACCATGAACTCGTTACACTTTCGATTCGCGATACTTGTTGGTGATGACACTATCGAGTAATTGATTTACCGGTGCGCTAGGTTATTAAAACATTCTCCAATTTACATAAGCCAAACAAAATATTTACTAATTATAAGTGGCGCCATATGGCAGCAACAGTTGGCGATTGGCAGCTGGGCAAGGCGCAAATAACAAACAAGTTCAAGCTGTATGCAAAGCTCAAGGTCACACAATTATTAAATACATTTAATTTATGCATATTCACACGAGCAGAGAAATGGCAACTGAGAGAATTTCCGTTATTGCCATTGTTAACGGCCGCTCTCACTCGTGTGCGCGCGCTCTCTTCTATTGAAGCGCAACTGGTTGGTACGCATCTCCACAATATACAGCTGTTGCGCACGTGAACTAGTTCTGGTTCAGGTTCAGGTACGGTACTTTTGCTGCGCACTTGCCTTTGCATTTTAGTGCGACGCACAAATGAACAATGCAAAAGTAAAAAGAGAGCATTGGCGTGGGTGTTCTAAAGTTCAGAAGAACGCAAGCTTGCCGGCTGTTAGCTGGTTTTGCTGGTTCGTTAATTAACACTGCTCATACAAATATTTATTTCAGTGCAACAATTGGCCAATTTGCAGTTTAGGCAGAAATATTGTGTGTGTATGTGTATTTGCGTGCTGGGTTTTGGCCTTCCGCGCCAGTTATATGGCAAAACTTAAATAGTTGACCAAATATTTTTGGTGCTAATGATAAAACTGGTATACAGCGATTTTTCGATTACACCAGACAGCGCTAAAGCACGTCACGCCACATCGGACCACCCACACACACACACACACACATACATATATACACGCGCGCGCATACAAAGAAAAACAACGACCTTCCTGCGAAATGAAATGTGTCACACGTAAAACAAAAATAGTAAAAATTGCGAGTGAGCCAATCAATTGTTTATAGCGCGTTTCAAGAAACTGAAACACCCTGTGCCCGTGAGCCATGTCTGCGGCTACGTACATACATACATACATATGTATATCTGAGTCATTCACTCTCTCAGCTGTTGCTCATCTTTGTTTACAAACAAAAACGTTTAAAATTTGTATTTTTTTATGCAAAAGTAAATACAAAACAAAACAAAAATCAAAAAAGAACGCAACAAACCGTGCATGCTCTCACATTTTACTTGAATCGGACGGCTGACGACATATGGGATTAGATCATCCAAAAAAAAGTCAAATTTGTTGTTGTAACATGTTAGCCAATTGTCAGTACCTGCACACAAGCACAAGCACACGTGCTCGCATTAGATTAGCGGGCCTGCTAAGCGCCACTCGAAACGGATTTAACAACCTTCTGTGAGTGTAAGCCGAGCTCATAAGTACTTAACACACATACATACATATCTATCACATTCTCTTTGCTCTCTTTACATATTGCGTTCTCGTTCTCACGGTTTCATTTATGCAAATGCGAAACGCGCGCGCTTGCGTGTGTGCGAGAGGAAGACAGAGAGAGAGAGAGAGGGGGGGAGCGTGAGTTAAACGTGTCGCTATTGCAGTCTCAGCTGTTTAGTCAATTGGCTGTGCTTCTTCAAGTGTTGTGATTAATTCGCAACGAAATCATTCAATTACACAATTTTATTAACTGATGCACAATTTAAAAATACACGTGCCAACTAATCAACTAATAATAGCTGCCTCTATCAAATTGTATAAATAAAAAAAAAAACATTTACATGTATTAGAGGTGGGCATGTGTCAGGCATATGCAATACTTGAACACGAACGTTAGACTTGTCTTGTCAAGACGAGATACGTGCTCGTGTCACGTAAGAAAGCACGACACGCGCCCAGCTCTAATTTATATGCACATTAATTGCGTGTGTATATGATTTCACACAACACAAACAATCGACAGAGGTTAATGACAGCGTGATAGAGCGCAATACGCGAAAGTAGAACAGAAAAGGTAAACAGCAAATCAAATGTTTTGCTAAACGGCCAATTAGAAAACAGCCAAATTCTCTGTGTGTTTGTTTGTGTGCATTGGCGGCAATTTGAATGACAGTTGAAAGCGCAAAATTAACTCGTTTAACGGTACATCAGCTGTCAAAAACTTTATGCAATGCTCACCACATTGACATGTTGTTGCGGGGGACGCCAGTTAACCTTAAAATCAAAATATGCAGCCGGCGTTTAGCCTTCACTTCACGCACTTTTGACAGGGCCAAAGCACAGGGTGAGACAATCCTGGGCGCTCGTGGAACAATGTGGATATACTGGTTTGTTCCATGTACAAAGCATCGATGTTGCATTACTCAATAGATATGTGTATGTGTTTAGAAGTACACACACACACACGCACGCACACTGGCTACTGTATGGTTTGTGCGTCGGGGGGGGTAGGGGGGCAACAAAAGAAAAACTTACCAAATCAACAGACAGCCCAACGGCATCGGCCAACCAGGTAAACATGCGGCTGCCATCGTACAAATCATTCTCAATAAACTTGGGTGATTCGAGCATTTTGGCGTATTTCTTGTTGTTCTTTTGCAGCGTTGTCCTCGTTAAAGCTTCATTTGAACAATTACAGACAATTTAGCGCGTGGTTTGTTCACAAAGGAAACGCCGCTGCGTTCTTCAAACTAAAATCCGGACACTATGAATACGTTTCACAAAAAGAACAAACCCAAACGTGTGGGCGTTATTTTGAACTGCGTTTTATGCTTTTTTTTTTGTTGTTGTTAATTTACTAGTCAAATTTTGTGCAATAATTTTTGGGAAGTGTTGCTCTGTATATGTATTTATTTTGTAATCGCACGATGCGTGCGTCAAAATGGCCGTTCTCTTTCCGTTGAGTTTCGTATTCGCGTGCTTGCCTCCGACACGATTGAAAGAGAGAAAGAAACTGCGAGCAAGTTCTGTTTCAAATGAATTCGATGCCGAAATAAAAAAAATAATGTACACACATATGTTTATACTTGTATATGTGAGTAGTCGAACTTAAGCCTAATGATTGAATGAAAAAGTACTCGATTTGAGTAAGGGCATGTGCAACTACGATTTCTTATTGCAAGCCATAAAAAAATATATCGAGTGTGTGCATATTGTGGCAGCCATAACATTCGGCCGCACTGTTATTAACAGCCAGCACGGTTCTTGTTCTGGAAAGGTTTTGCTATTCTTTTATTAATTTTGTGCAGACAACATTTTGTTGATGCAATTGTGGGCTTGTAGCGAACAAAATAGTTGTTTTACGAAAATCAATTCTAATTGACGGCTGCTTTAAAAGACAAAAAGTAGAATTTGAATTTAACAGCAACAGACTGTTGCTTAACAACAGGGCCTTAACACAGCACCTGTTGTGGACAGCTGTTAAGTATTTCTAAATGTTAACGATGTATCGAATCTTTATTTATGAACATCAATATCGATTAATAATGAGCAGCTGAAATAACAGTCGATATTCCTGTTAGTAGTTTTTAGATATCATACATTTTGTGTTCTCTTAGAGGCCAAAGAAGCAGCCAACATAGAATAGAGCTCGTGGTCTACTAATTCGCTTGAGGCATTCGATAGCAGTAAGAAGCTAACAGCTTAAGACAATGTTATTTGTGGCGCAGTTACCGAAAACAAATGTTAATTTCAATTTCGAACGTGTATGAATTTTCTGTGTGAATTAGATGATAAATAGATGTGGTTTCTTGTAAGTAATCTGCGCTCTGTGCCAATTTTTGTCATCCGTTTTTATTTTCGAAACCGAGTGTGTGACAGCAGTTCGCGCTGTTAATAACATTTCAGAAAAATGTTAATTTTTTTTGGGTGCCCACATTCGTTAGTGCTCAATCGAGTAACAACTAAGCAAGAAGAACAAACAAACTTGCAATGGCGGGACGCGAACTAACAATAACGCCAACCAAACGGGAGCGCCGCAAATCCCCGGCCACGGGATTCGGCGCGGACAGCAGCAGCAGTGCACAACAGCAACCGCCGCCCATGTCGCCCGGATCTTCCATTGCGGACACCACATTCGAGCCAACAATTGATATGATGGTAAATGATTTTGACGACGAGGCCACATTGAACGAGGAGGAGGCGCTCGCCGATCTGGAGGCGCACAATGCCGAGGACGAGATAGCCACGTTGCGCGAGGAAAGCGAAATGCCCATCGAGCTGCTGCTGGCCAAATACAGCAGCATGACAAATATGGAGCCGGCGTCCGTCGCCCGTCCCAGCAGCAGCACCAGCAGCAGCTCGAGGCGACGACGTGCGCCCAAGCGACAGCTACCGGAAGACGAAGCCGCCGGCGCCGCCGAGGAGCCGCCAGCTGGCGCTGAGCCGCAGTCACATACAGTCGCACCAGGAAGTCCTCTGCTGGATTATGCAAGCCTAACGCCACAGTTCCACGAATCCGGCATGGATGCGGATCAAGTGCCAGGCGTTTTGCCGCCAGAGCTTACGAAGAAAACGCATCGCTCGCATTTACTCGACCTGTATCCCGAAGAGTCCTTTGAGACCGGTGCACAGCATGCCATGGACACTGTGGAGGATGTGGAAAGCTGTACGTGCACATATTTTATATTGACTTCTTTGATTTGACGGATTGAGGCACGGCTAAAGCCGGATAGTACATGCTAGTAGCACTTATATATATACAAATTCTTTCTTTAGTTACGCCGCTGCAGACGCTCCTTGAGGAGGTGGAGGCAGGGGAGGAGGAGGAGGAGGACAGCGACACCGATTCGGACGATGCGAGAAAAATAATTATGGTCGGACCGAACTATCAAGCTGAAATACCCGAGGGCCTATCGCAATATGGCGACATACTGCCGTACGAGAACGAGGATCAGTTGATTTGGGAGCCGAGCCAGGTCAGCGAGCGTGCCGTCGAGGATTATCTGGCCAAAATACAGGAGACGCGCTCGGTGATCAGCACAGAAGCCGAAGGCGCCAACGCAGCCGATCCCATAGAACGGGCTGAGCTCGAAGAGCTGCCAGCGGAAGCAACGTCGCCCGAAGCTCCAGCTCCAGTTGCTGCTGCGGCTGCGGCGCCAGCCGGCTCGGACATGGAGTCGGTGGTCAAGGACAACGAACAGGCGCTGCATCTGCTCGTCCAGTGCGGCTATGACTTCAAGGAGGCGCTGCGTCGCAAGCGAATGAATGTGCTGCCGCTCAGCGACACGATGAGCAGCTGGTCGGAGGAGGAGTGCCAGAAATTCGAGGAGGGCATACAAAAGTTTGGCAAGGACTTCTATCAGATACGACAGAATCAGGTAAACTATGCGACAACGCACAGTGGAACGCACACATGAGCAGACGGGACAAAAATCATTCAACAGCTACTCAAAAGCCGAAATTAAAAGATTTAACCTATTCAAACATAACCTAATTCTCAAATATATCGATTACAATATATCGATAAATTAGAGACTGTTTCAATGATTTTGGATACTTGTTCGAAATCTAAACTAGAATTTGTTTTCGATTTTTGCCCACCAGACGAACCACTGTGCGAGGCCACAAACACACACTTAAATGATGATCCCATGCGTGTGTCCTTTCAGGTGCGCACTAGAACCATGCGCGAACTGGTTCAGTTCTATTACCTGTGGAAGAAGAGCGAGCGACGTGATCAGAGCTTCGCCCTAAACGACACAATTGATCACATGGATGTATTTATCAACGAAGCTGGAAATGGAAACGGAAACGGAAATGGGAATGGGAATGGGAACGGAAATGGCAGCTGCTCATCGCTAGCCAGCAGCTGCAGCAGCAGCAATGGCCACAGCAACGGAAATGCCGCCATGGAGCTTCCACTGGACAAGGATGCAGCTCTCGAAGCAGCAGCAGCAGCGGCGGCTTCGTCGGCGGCGGCGTCGGCATCCCCAAGAAAATCCACAACGAAAAACTACTCGATTATGACCGGTGGCAATGGAGCAGCTGCAGCAACAGCTGTTGGCAGTCGCAAGCGCGGCGTCTCCTTTGCCCTTGACGAGGACAACATGGAGCAGGAGCAGGGATTAGAAAGCTTAAGCTAAAGCCAATTGGCCAGCAATTTTTGGGGGCAAAACAGCAGAGCATTTGAGCCATAAATGCGCAGGCGCTTCCGACTCAACGATGGCTGCTGCAAAAAAATAGGGCGTGGCATTCAACAAAATCAACATTCATTATAAAAAACATACCTACAATATATATGTATATACATATGTATAGATTATGTGTGTACAGTGAAAGCTCTCTTGAGCGTACGCTGACGGTTCCAGTTAAATTGTCCTCCTTAGTGTTAAATATATGTATGCATGTATATATATATATACGTGTTTATAGTGTGCAGTATGTGTAGAATATGTATCGTTTCATTAATATATGTATATGTTTCTGAAGTCTACCTCTCGTATAAAACTCGGTATTATTCAATCCAAATCGTTAAAGAGAGCTGCATTTTTGGCAGTGTTGAACGACAGCTCAATGAAACCATAAGAAAAAGAGAGCCGAGCAATATTAGCTGCGTATGCATGTGTGTGTGTGTGTATGTGTTTGTTTATAGTGTTGAAAAGCTCAGCCATACGGCGTACGTGAGAGACTTTCGCCTGGCTTAGACTGAGGTCAGCTGATTTTCGCTTATCCGTAATACGTGTGTTTATCCACAGTTATATACCTATAGAGGCTATAGCAACTGTAGAGCATATTGCGGCTGGTCGAACTCCTTGAACTGCTCAAAAGGATCAAATGTCAAGCGCAGAGCTGTTGCCATTTTGTCAGATAAAATAAACGCCCCAGACAATTCTCATATTCGCCTTTGCTTGCATTTTCGCAAACTCACACACACACACACGTATATGCACATATATATGCACAGGCAGCGGCACGTACACACGAGCATAGAGAACTTAATGGGAGATAGCAGTAAAAAGCAGGGCCAGGCCCAGACGAGCGACGATCGTGCAAAACGAAGTTTTCAGTTGGGGCTTGATTTTCTACTGGTATCGATACCGCATACACATGCACATGCAGTTCGTACATACACACACACACACACACACACACAGAGACAGTTACGTGTGTATCAGCTCCTCTGTTCGTTTTACGTTGGCTTCACTGGCGTAGCGTGAACATTTTACGTTTAGGTTCGCTCCATGCCACACAGAGCTCCACAGCCAACCAGCGGACCGTAGTGAACAAAAAATCCAGTTTTGTTTAAAAATAAACAAAGCGCAACAACTGGGCACGCTACAGTCCTCAGCGTACAGCATATCTGTGTATGTGGGTGTATTGGGGTCTGTCAAACAGTTCAGCTAGGACTCGCTAGACCCAAGCTAAATGTAACTGCAAAAAAGCTAAAGTCTAGCTGCCGATTACGTACATACACACACACACACACACACACACACACATATGTATGTATGTATTTGTTAAGTTGTTAGGGCAGCGCATTTGCGATTCGTTACGGCCCGAAGCTGAAACAGAGTTAACAACCGTAAAGCGTAGAGGAGACATAGCGCAACAGCCCGTCAGGCGGGCAGCGGAAGCTTAACATCCGGATAATAGTCGCTTGTGCAGCAGCGCGTCGGCCGGTGAGTTCTTCTTCTTGTTTAGAGCAAAGCCTGTCTGCCTGAGCCCTGCCTACGCTCTCCAGCTCACTGGCTCTCCCTCTCTCGCTCCTCCCCCCCCCCCCCTCTCTCTCGCTCTCGCACAGTCTGTCTCTCTATCTCTGTTGATTGTTCGCTTTTCGTTGCGCCTTCGCCGCAGCCAAAAGGCACGTAAACTGGTTGCGTCGCCGTCGTCGTCGTCGTCGTCGTTGTCTTCGCCGTTGTTGCCCGTACGCCGTTGTCGTCGTCGTGGTCGGCGTGGCGTGCCCGTAGTTTTTTCTGTTGTTTTTTTTTTGTTGTCTGTTTTCTGTGCTGCGCTCTTTTAGTCTTGGTGTAGCGCTTGAGCTGCGCGAGTCGGACCTTTACACGGATCAAGCAACAACCTCAGCCGTCATCATAGTCATCATCATCATCATCAACATCATCATGAGCATGGAGCTGGCCTACAATGCGTCATCGGCATCAACCTCGCCGCCCGTCTCCTTTGGCTTCACCAACACCGCCAAGCTGCCCATCGAGACGGTGAAGCGTCTCATTGCCGCCGTTTCACGTCGTCCAGTTCTCTGGTTGCGAAACAATGCGAGCGGCCAAAAGCGCAGCGATATTACGCCCATTTGGTTTGATGTCGGCAAGGATGTTAATTTGCCAGGTGAGTGCCAGCAGCAGCAGCAGCAGCTGCAGCTTTCTGATTGTAAGCCGTATAAGCCACATGCATATAAAATGCGCAAGTGTGTTACATATAGCATGAGGTTTGCTGTGCATGTGCACAGTGTGCATTCGATAAGACGAATCCACACACAGTTAGCGTAAAGCTCACGCTTAGCATGTAAAGCTTAGTTCGGCGAGCTTTTTATTAAACATATGCTCGTGTTATTAAACATGTAGCATGTGCACAGTGTGCATTCAATAAGACGAACTCATACACAGTCAGTTTAAAGCTTAAAGCTTACGCTTGGCATTTAAAGCTTAGTTCGACGAGCTTTTTTAATAAACATGGGCCTTAAAAGCACATTTCTTATTTTGTTATTATTATTCAATGCCTGAAATCCATTTACAAGAACATATGATCTGTGAGCTTTAAGCTCAACCTAAAAGAACAAAGCTCGATTTGCATAGCTTTTGCGCCTAGTTTAGAGACATAATTTAACTCTCAATGGATTAAGTTCGTATAGTAAATGCCTGGAAAGCTTAAAGCTCAAAATAATCATGAAAAGCTCAACTTGCAAAGCTTTAAGCTCCTATTTCTAAATATATAGGCATTTGAAGCCTAGAGAAAATGAAGCTTACCAAAAATAGAAATTTGTGCATATTAGAATTCACACTTCTTTCACAAAAGTTTACTGTATTAACTATGCAGTTCGGCTTAGCGTGTACACACTGTATGTGCATTACGAGGCATTGCGGTTTTCTTGTGGCCACAAGCACAGCTTGATCAGACATCTGTGCATTCGCAGCGAATACAGCAATTGATCGTCTTCCTCTTGTTCTTTCTCGCTGCCCGCAGCTGACGTGTGCCGTGTGAAGTGGGGACACCTGCGCGACAATTTCCGCAAGGTGTACATACGAAACAATCTGTCAAACGAGTCGCCTTCCTCGTGGCGCTTCTACAATGATATGCGCTTCATGGAGCATGCGGTCCATGAGAACATCTTGAGGCAGGCGCGCACGCGCGGCAACAGCAAGAAGCATCCGCCGGGACATTGGACGGAGAACAACAATCTGATACTGGACGATGGCGGTAAATATGATGAGCCCATTGTGGCCACCGAGCCCATCTGTGAGCTGAGCGACAGCTACGACTCGGAGCTGCATCAGCCCAGTTTCTCGGACATCAGCTCGTTCTTTGAGGACCGGGACTGCAAGCGGGTGAAGCTGGAGCTGAGCAACGGCGATGCGCATAGCCAGCGGGATGAGGAGCTCAATGATGATGATTTCGACGAGGATGCCGCGTCCGAGAACGAAGAGGAGCACCATAAACATGGCACACCCGATCCCAGTGTCTTTACCATCGAAGTGCTGGACGATGATGAGGAAATGGCGCAGCCCATGTCCAAAAACAAATCGAGCCCGTCCAATGGCAGCATCAAAAGCGAGGCGGATGTTAAGCCACAATCGCAGCCGGGCTCCAACGATTTGCCCTTCAAGTACATCAGCATGGATGCGTCCACCAATACGGAACCAAATGGCGCGGATGCGCAGGACGATGCGGATCGCATGTTTCTGCTCAGCCTGATGCCATTCCTGCAGCGCTTGGATGAGCGTCGCAAGCTGCGCGTCCGCCAGAAACTGCAAAACGTACTGATTGAGGAACTGGAGTTTGGCTGATGGATCGCCGAACCGATATATGCCTAGTTATACAATATAAATATAGTACATTATAAGCTTAGCTTACAGTATTAAAATACATAAGTATGCGACTGAAATCACACACAAACACACATTACATAGAATGTAATCAGTTATTCACCTAGAGAAAATATAAGACAGTACAGTAAAAACTCTACTAACGAACAGCTGATCTGGGCAATGATTTTTAATCTCAATATTTACATAGCTCCATATAATGCCAGAAGCTCTCTTGAACGTTTGCCAACACTGTTTTATTTCGGTCAAAAAGCCGTTCGTTAGATTAAGATTTAAAATAAAATGGCTGCAGAAATTCCGAAAACAATCGAACATTTTCAACACTTGTTAACTAAAGCATAAATTAATTGATGTGTGTGTGTGTACACACTGTTTACATATATGTTTGTACATATGTATGTATATGTACATCTCTTTCAAGCAAAAACAACTCGAGCTGTAACAAAATTACAGAGCTTTTACTGTACATAAATATGTATGTATGTATGTATGTATGTATGTATATACAAAACGAACACGAAACACCACGCATAGTGTAATTAGTTTTGTAAAGGACGCCTGGCACGTTTACCTGTACTATGGGCTGCGCACCTGCGCTCTACCTGAGCCTGTCTGAAATTCCATGAACCCGCCGGTCGTAGATGCTGCTGATGCGCTGGCCAACAGCCGAAATGGTTTCAATTGAATTTCGTAGCCAGCGATCACGAAATTTTTGTCAGTGCAAGGCAAGAGATGAAAACAAGTTCCTTAAGGGTGTTGTTTCTGGCGACAACAACAATAACAACAACAACAAACCGAGCTGGCGGGCAGCGCAACAACAACAACAACAACGACAACAAATGCGCGCCACCACCGGCCATATTTTCGCGCCACCGCCACATGCGCCGTTAATGTGCTCGCTCTCTCACGCTCTTTTACATTGGCTCTCTTTGTGTGTCAGCACAATAAAATAGATGCCAAGGCGACATATGAATGCTCTATAAATGTACATGCTATAGGCATTTGCCTTGTTTCTAACAGATAGTTAAATTCGGTATGTTTGTATGCTAAACCCATCACATGAAAACGAAAACTGTCTTTGTGTTAAACACAAATAACAGATGCTGAACTGTTAGTTTACAGAGTCGCTGATAAAACGCACCAGCAAGCGTCATATGCTCGAGCACAAGAAAGTGTGCAATAACAAAAAAATAACAAGCCAAAGGGGCAGCAGAAGCATTGTCGGCGCATGAACGTGCATCCAGTTTCATGTTTAAATGCGTGCGTGAAGGTTGAATATATCGAGAGTGCAAAAAGGAGCCCTGGTCCCCCAGCGTAGCAAAACCACGAGAAGTGGGTCAAAATTATTCGAAAAACACTAAGCAAAACAACGCACTAGTCATGAATGGTTAAAATCATAGCCACACACGCACACAAATACGCGCGTCAAAAATATAAAACACGCACAGCTTACAACACTGTTTCAAAGTATGTTTATAATTTAGATATATGTATATGTAAAAAGTGCATGTTATTGATAGCGAGCGGGGAGCAATTCGATTGCATTTCTTTGCCGCATAAGTGAAAATAAATAGAAGATAAAACAAGCGCACACACTCACGCGCACACCCATGCACATTTAATTGTAAAATGTGCGCGTGCATATGAACAATACATACAACGCATAAGTATACCCATGCGATAGGGAAAGAGAGAGAGAGAGAGAGCGAGCGCAATTCAGTGAGTGAATGAGTGCGAGAGAGCGCCAGCAACACGGCAAAAATCTAAAGAGCGAGCCCAACATTGGAGCGCGCGCGCACGCAAACATCAAAATCAAAAACTGACTGTGAGATACATTTGGGTTTATTTTATTTTTTGTTTAGCTACATAGATGATGAGCAAGCGCAGCAATAACAACAACAGCGACAGAACAGAACTGAAGAAGCAACACTCATACAAAAACACACACACACACACACAGTTACACAGATACATTCGTATATACATGAGCGAGGAGGCATGATTATTATGTTGTGTTTTTAGTCGAATGTATCTTTTAGTCGGGCAAAGGAATACACGAATGTCGGAGTCGAAACGGGCCACAAACGTATTACGCATGAGATCTCTTGGTCTTTACATACTATAAAAGAATCTCGCATTTTCGAAACGCACGAATTAAAATCGAAATCAAATAAATTCCAAACGTAAATCAATAAGCTTATACGCCAAATAATCAAAGAGAACATATACAAAAAAAGGGAAAAACAAACTAAACGGTTAAGTTTAATATAACAACAACAACAACGATATTTTCTGCGAGGCGACGCCACTTTTGACATCCCATTGAAAGTGTGCAGTTGCGAGCGGCTTGCATGAGGCTGCTAAAAAAGGTGTGTAGCAAAAAAAAAAAAACATCATTCATTAACGGACAACGAAACAAAAACAAAAATGGGGAAAGAAGTGAAGAACGGTTTTTGGCCAGTGTTAAACAACAATTCGCTGAAAGTGCGGCCAATTATTGATTGGGTGACAAAATGTTGAAGATTCTGCAATTATATATTGAGATTTTTTATGCCGTTTGTATGTATCGCGCGCGCACACACACACGCATACACACACACACACACACATGCATATATGTATACCACCTAGAAAGTTGTATAAATACAACCCTCATCCCTTGCCGTTTTTGCGTCTTTGCTTGCACGTACTCCAAACACACACACACACACACACACATGCATACATATGTATACGGTTTGTGTGCGTGTGTGCGTATACAAATGCAAAAGGACTTTAACTTCTTGGTTCGTGTTCTTCTTGTTTTTTTTTTTTTCAACAACGTTTTGAGACACAGACTGTTTCAATAGAAATGTTCAAGGGTGACAAGGGTAGTTTCTGCACAGTGTCTACACGGCCCAAAATCTGGAAGTGCATCGTTTCTAAGGCGTTGCACACGTACATATATACATACATACATACATACACACACATGTATATGTAAGGAGAAGTAGAGAGAGAGAGAGAGGGAGTGCCAGGTAGAGATGGATAGATTTTTCTGACTTATTTTGTTTTGAAACTAGATTATTCTGGACTTCTCACAGCTACAGTAAAGCCATAATAAAGTGCACAGATATTTACAAGAGTACGCTAAATGAAATGTTCATATTGCAGTTCATTTCTGGTTAATTGTGAACGGATTCATTTGATGCTTTCGTTCGTTCAGTTAAGTAGTTCATTTCAATGAACCGTTCACAATAGTCAGCGTTCACTGAGGCCATTTCCAAGCCAACAGCAGTTATTTGAATTAATTAGCTTTGTGCACAAAAGTTAAATGATAAACAAGTTCTCAAACGGTTTTTTCTTTGAGTGTAGCCTGTGTCTGACGCGCTCGCTGCGCTTGTTGTTGTTGTTGCTGCTGCTGTTACTGTTGTTGTTGTTGTTATTGTGAGAGGGGATGAAAGTCGGTCGGCCGTTTGGGCGTATGTCGCTCCATCTTGAAGATGGCAACGAGCACAACAACCAGTTTGTTTTTTTTTTAGCATAGCCCAAACGCATTCGAGGTAATACGAACCTGCGTCCGTCGGGGGTTGGGGCCATGGGGGTGGTTTAGCGTTATCTAGAATGTCCTATAAATAGACATTTTCTGGTGCGTAGTTTTTTGAAATTTGTGGGTCACAGAACCCTTCCAAGTACAGGCAGCCCTTAAGGAATGGAAAGTGCATCAACAAATTTAATTTAACTAATTTTTTTTATCGTTCATTTGGGTTTTTTTCCGAGTTTTTTTTTTTTAAGAATAATAGGGGTACATTGAAGAAAATTTTCTTTTAATTATTCTTCTTTTTTATATATTTTTTTCATATATTATGAAAATTATTATTATGAAATCTATTCAAAAAAACATTCTATGGGTTTTTTCCAAGTGTAATTTGAAGAAAGTTTTGTTAAAATTATATTTTCATATATTTTCTTTTAAGTTTTAATTTAAATATATTAATTATATTATTTCAAGGATCTGGTTCTCTTGACGGGAGTTTGATCCATTCCTTTATCTTTAAAGTAAATCCTAAAACTAGTTCCTTTACTTGGCATAGGGAAATATTTGCTACATTTTCCATTTTCTGAAAAACGATAGAGTAGACATTTTGCAGTTCGCTTTATCGATAGACATTGCGCCATTTTATAGATCCTTCAGATCCTTCAGGGTAATCCGTGTCATAAATTTAAAGCGTAAATGCTGCGTGCCAAATTCCAAGATCAGGCCGAGAGTCTGAGCCTGCGCCCGAGCCTGAGGTTATTTGCCTGAAACAAATTTGACCTGCTGCGGCATCTGCCGGTTCTAGAGATTCGGGTCGTCTGGCATTTTCCAAGGGGATCAGCGAGCGCAGCGAACAATAGACGAGTTTTTCCCCGAGACATTTTCCGCTACCTACTCAAAAGAAATGCAGCTGCCGCCTGGAATCCAGGCCCGACTGCAATTTGGACTACTTAATGCACGGCGGATGCGTATGCATAAGTTAGTTAGCTGCCAGCACGGCGTCTGTCAACCTCGCGTCAGCCTTGTCTCAGCCTTAAATTGACTCTGGCGCGTTCCAAACGCAAATTCGAATACTATTCATAAGCAGCCTGCTCCGGAGACGTCATTTGCTCATCGATTGATCTTTCACTCACTCTCTACAAATTTGCAGCTTGAGAGTGTCTCGTTGACTGCCAAGGGCCACGCCTACAACGCCGCTGAAACGCTCGTGATCTCAATACTCAACTTCTTATGATGGAACTCTTGTCAAACAATCAGGTTCCGCAACAAATGTCCAGCAGTAATGCGACCAGCGCCGCCGCCGCCGCCGCCGGCGGAGCCAATGCCAACGTTGGCAGCGGCAGCGGCAGCATCAGCAGCAATGCCAGCAACTCCTCGGAGCGACTGCTGGCCGGCATACTGGAATCATTTCCCGCCTGGGATCTCAATGTCGGCCTGCTGCCCAACGTGGGCCAAGCCAACGGGTAAGCATTTAACACAATCACACAAGTTGCTTTGCTAATTCCGTTTCTTGCCACGCCAACAGCTCGCCGCCACGCACTGACTTCTTTATCAACAATTTTCTGGGCGGCCTGGAAACGCACGGTGACTTCAGCATGGTGGGCGCGATTGGCAGCGGCGCCACGCGCCATTCAAAA